ATAAATACTACTATTAAAACATATCTAAAAGCTTATATAAACTATAACTAAAAAAAACTGGATAAACCTACTACCTCTAATAAAATTAGTAATTAACAGCTGTATAAATACAGTTATAGGATTTTTACTATTTTTTTTAAGCTATAATTATAAGTTAAATCTAAACAGCTAAAAAATAGTTTAAAATACAGATCTAGAGGTTGCTGTCTCCAGCCTTATTTAATAAAAAAATATAATTATACAGAAGATATATAATACTTTAAACTAGGCCTAAAGTACTATAGTCTATATATAATAAAATACTAAAAAATAAACTAATTAATTCTAATAAGCCGCCCTATTATATTAGATAGGTAACTAGATATAGTTAAGCCTATAAAATATCTATATAAATTACCCTAGTAAGAAGCTAGATTAGAAAAATATAAAATATACTATTTTAAAAAAAATAGAATTATATACTATATAATTTAATATACTAAAGAATATCTATTTTATATTTTATATTAACCTATTTTATCCGACAGCTAATAATATATTACTATTATAAAATAAAAAAAACTTATAACCACTATCTATAATAGTTAACAGTAAAAAGGAATATAAAATTAAAAGAATTCTTAACAAACAGTATATAATAAAAGGCCGGAAAAGCCAATTATAATATCTTATTAAATATAAAAATTATATAAAACTAATCTAGAAACTAGTTTTAATATATAATAATATAAAAGTAGCTGTATAATAGCAGCTGTAGTCCCAGCCAAACCCTAACTAACTACTAAATAATTAAAAGCTGGAATAAAAAAAAACTATACTAATATTCTTCCCTCTTAGCTCTGATTCGTACGAACCTGATATAAAAAAAAGAAAAAAAAAAAAAAAAAGCCTTTTTTAATTTTTTAAAACTAACTAAAAAAAGCTGTACTTAATCTAATAAAAAAACTAAATACTACTATACTAAATTCAGCTTATATACTAATTTAATCTACTAATTTTTTAATAATATTTTAAAAAAAAGCAGTAATAGCTGTAGGCTTATATTTAGATTTATTTAGATTATAGTAGCTATAATATATACTATAATCTTTAAACTTATAGTTTATACAGGCCCTATTCTACTATTTAGACAGCTATATAGTCTGCCGGAATTTTATTTAATTATTATACTTATAATAATATAGTATTACCAGACTATAAAATATAATTAAAAGGCTGTTAATATAAAAAAGGCACCTAATATATATTTAACTTTATTAATATTTTATATAAAAATATTATTAGATTTTTTTATTTAAGCCACAGTAAAAGCACCAACCTTTATTTTAAATTTATAGTAAAAAAATACTAAACATACTACTAGTCCGGAATATAGCAAAGTTAGAGTAAAGCTTTATTTTTATATATTATTAATTATATAATAACCTAGTATTTTATATTACTAGTATAAAAATTATAAATAATAGTATATTATATAAATATAAAAAGCAAATTATAGTTAGTAAAAGTAAAAAAAAACCTAAAAAAAATCATAGCAGATAGAAATTAGTATATTATCTAAATATTCAGACTCACCAGCCCCAGCATTAGAAGAAGAAGATAAAATATTAATAAACAGAAAAAACAACAAAAATTGTACAGGCAAGAGAAAAACAGATTAGTAATAAAAAAAAAAAAGATATATAAAAAAAAAAAGCTAAAAAGGGGGGGGGTGGCCTTTTTATATAGTACTTTATATACTTTATATAATACTAAAAACTAAACCTAACCACACCCCCAGAACCAGTTGTGTAAATAGTATAAAGAAAAGATTCTATTTACTAAAAAATTACTATATTTACTAGATAAAAAAGATTTATATAAAAAGAAATACTATAATAAGTAATATAGGCCCTATCTATACATATACTGCCTACTAACCAGCTATAATATTATTTAAAAAAGGCTGAAGTACAGAACTGTTACTTTAAATCCTAAACAGCTATTTATATAAATAAAAGCCATAAGAAACACCAAAAAAAAAAGGGGACTTTTATTATAAAACCAAGGCCCTATTATAAAGCTCGGCTTTAAACACCAGTTGGCATCTAAGGTCTTATATACTAAATACTAAACTAACACTAGCTTAGTGTACATATAAAAGAATTTTATACAAACAGGTAAAATAGCTTCTTAGCTATTTCTTCTTGTTTTAAGGCACGTTTTGATTAGCACAATCCATCCGTCCTGTAACATAATCCTATTATAAAGTATTTTATAAAAGTAAGAACCCAGAAACTAGTTTTATAAAGATTTTAGTAGCCTGGACTAGCTAAGTTTATACAGGACTACTGCCACACGTGTGGAGTATATTAAAGTAGAAGAATAGTCTATAAAAAATAGTAGAAACTACTAAAACTACTACTACCGGCTGTAAAACCCTAGAAAGAAGTAACTATAAACTTTATTACAGACCTACCTGCAAGCGCTGGAAGAGGTATAAACTTACAGAAGATTTATAATAGTATTATAATTATAGTAGACTAGTTTAGTAAAATAGCCTACTTTATTCCCACCCGCAAGATACTATTAAAAAAAGAACTTATAATAATCTTTTTTAAAAAAATCTTCTGGTTGTATAGTATACCTGCAAAAATAATTATAAACTATAAATTAGTTTTTATAAAAAGCTTCTAGTTAGACTTTATTTATACTTTTATAATTAAGCAGGGCTTAAGTACAGCCTACCATCCGCAAATAGATAGCTAAATAAAACAGATAAATAATATATTAAAATAATACCTGCAAAACTATATAAATTTTAAATAAAATAATTAAATAAAGATACTACTACTTATAAAATTTACCTATAATAATTTTCTATAAGTATTAACTAAGTACTTGCTGTTTTTTATAATAACTGTATAATATCTGCAGATAATAGTACTGGACTTACAAATATTAGATAATTCTATAAAAGGATTAAAACAGTGCCTTTAGAAGATTAAAAAAGTACAGAAAGAAGTATCTGTAAATCTTAAGCTGGCTTATAAGTATTAGAAAGACTTTTATAATAGGAGTTGTAAGACTACTGCCTTTGTAGTAGGCCAGGAAGTCTGGCTTTCTATAAAAAACCTACTATAAAAAAGACTAAATAAGAAATTAGATCAACGCTACCGCGGACTATTTTGTGTGATTAAAAGAATAGGCAAACAGGCCTATAGATTAGAGCTACCCGCAGATCTGCGGATTCATAATGTCTTTTATATTTCCCTTCTACGCGGACACTATACAATGGAAGGGGTAGACTCGCAAGGACGTTTCTCGCAAGAGGATGAGAGTCCAGATAGCCGCGACAATGTTCACCATGGTGAACCGTTGAACCCGCCCCCCGCGGGTGTATGTGGCCACGCGGGGGGGAAAAGTGGCGGCGGCGACGGCGGCAGGGGGCGCGACGGCAAGTGCGGCAGGAATGGGGGCCGGTGCAGGAGGCGCGGCAGGAGCATTGGCGGCGGCGGCGGTAAGGGCTTCCTCCCCCAGGGAGGGCAGGCTCGCGACGCGCTGAAAGCTGTTAGCCAAGGCCCTAGCACCCGGCAGAGAACTCATGCGGTAGGGGGCAGAGGCGCGGGGGCCAATTAGCCCTGCAGGCACAGAAACAGCACAGTTATTAGCTGTAAATAAAGTTAGTCCGCCCTTTATAAGGGGGGAGAGAAGGGACCGAGTTCTGCAAAAATATACTAGATATTATTATAATTTTATAATAATAATAAAAAACAGTATTAGCTAATAAAAATAATATTAGATTATAACAGCAAAACTCACTGTAAGAGTAAAAGAAAAGAAAGAAAAAAAAAGTATATTAAAAAAAAAAAAAAGACTAGAGGCCTGGAAAGGGAAAGCCTACTTATATAAAAGCAGATCCTACTTCTATAAAAATAGCTCTGCTAGTCTTTTTTATAAAGTATTTTAAAGTATCTAAATAAATAAATTAAAGAAGATTAATATTATTTACTGGAGAAGGATATCTTATAAAAATAACCAGTAGGTAGCAGACTATATATCTAGTAATCTAGTAAATAAAGCAGTTGTAGAAGGGGTCTATATATTACACCCTCTATAAAAAAAAATAGTAAGGCTATTTTTTCTACTGTTCTGATTTTCTATAGAAGGTGTTTACAGAGCAGAGGTTTTAATAGCACTGTTATAAATAAACAAACTATTTTATATAAAAAAAGAAAAGGTTGTAAGGGCCTGCAAGCCCTTCCAACCTTTATAATATTAATTATAAAGAAATATATATAAAAGAAGGCCTAAGGTATCAGTTATATAACAGCTAAGCAAGGCGGCTGCAGAACCACCTAAGGCAGCAGTAGTCCTATAAAGTTAGGTAGATCAGCAACAATACCTTAAGGCATAACACCACCATCTTTGGCTATCGCAATAAGCTATTTGTTTACTACACTATTTCACCCTCTAGTCCTTATAAAATATATATATAAAACTTGTAATAGATAAAAATTGCTACCCTACCAGACTGGAATAAGTCTTTTATATTTATAGTAGACTATGCAGACAGGCAGCATAATAGATTCTTTCTTAGATTAAATTTTAAAATATAGAAACAGTACAATTAAAGGACATACTTATAGTAATAAATAAAGTATTTAAAGACCCTAATATATAATAAAAAGCCCTAAACCAGGTTAATATAATAAAGTAAGAAAAAATAAAATTGGAAAAATTTTTAAATAACTTTAATAAAACTCTACTACAGGCCGGAGGGTATAATTAATTAGATAAATAAAAAAGACCATACTAAATACTGCAGTAAACTAAAGGCTTATTAAAAGATTAGTTAGAATTTTTTAAAAACCTATATATAAAGAATATTACAACCAACTATACTATATAAACCATAATCTTAACAGAATATTTTTTTTAAAAAAAAGCTATACTAAAGCCACACCAGTATAATATAAACCAAGCTTTAAACTAATAAAGTAAAAACCTATTTAGATAGCTGCTGTATAATAAGAAAAATACTACTTCTACTTAACAACTAATAACCTCTAGGAATAGGCTTAATAGGTAACACCCAGTAAAATATAGAAAAAATATAAAACAGATTACTGCTTTTATTATAAGTAAAATAAATATTTTATCTGCTAATATTTGTTATGGGACCAAGGCCCTGTTATAGAGCTCGGCTTCAGGCACCAGTTGGCACCTGAGGCCTTGCATACTAAGTACTAAACTAGCACTAGCTTAGCGTATATATAAAAGAATTTTGTACAAACAGGTGAAATAGCTCCTTAGCTATTTCTTCTTATTTTAAGATATGTTTTAATTAGCACAATCCATCTGTTCTATAATATTAGAAATAGCTTATTAAAAAAAGCCCTAGATAGAGCCCGACTAGGCGTATAAATAGAATAGAATAGAACTAAAAGAATTATTAGAATAATAAAATAAATAGATTAGAAAGGACTGCGGCCGACTGTAGTATCTGTAGCTATATATAATAATATATAATTTTTTTTATAGAAGCTAATCAGCCTTCATACAGAAATAGCAAAACAGAAACTAGCTTTTAAAAAGTAGATAAATAAATTATAGAATTATAATACAACTTTTACTATTAACAGTAAATTAAAGGGAAATCTCTTACAGCAACTGTACAAACCAAACTACAGACTCTGCTTTTAATATCCTAATATAAAGCTGTTTAATAAAGAAGATAAGCACAACTACAAACTATTTAAACTAAATATATATATAAAGCTTATAATAGACAGAAACTGCTATTCTACTAGACTGGAATAAGTTTTTTATATTTATAGTAGACTACACAGATATACAGTACAACAGATTTTTTTTTAGATTAAATCCTAAAATATAGAAATAGTGCAACTAGAGGATATACTTATAGTAATAGATAAAGTATTTAGAGATCCTAATATATAATAAAAAGCCCTAAACTAGGTTAATATAATAAAATAAGAAAGAATGGAACTGGAAGAATTTTTAAATAACTTTAATAAAGCCCTACTATAGGCAGAAGGATATAATTAGTCGGACAAACAGAAAAAGGCCATATTAGATACTACAGTAAACTAAAGGCTTATTAAAGGATTAGTTGGAATTTTTTAAAAATCTATATATAAAGAATATTGTAACCAACTGCACCGTATAAACCACAATCTTAATAAAATATTTTTTTTTTTTAAAAAAAGCTATACTAAAACTGCGCCAGCGCGATGCAAACCAAGCCCTAAATTAATAAAATAAAAATCTATTTAAATAGCTGTTATATAGTAAGAAAAATACTACTTCTGCTTAACAACTAATAATCTTTAAAAATAGGCTTAATAGATAATATCTAGTAAAATATAAAAAAAATATAAAACAGATTACTGCCTTTATTATAGGTAAAATAGATATTTTATCTGTTAATATTTTCTGAAACCTGCTGTATAACTAATAAGTATAGCTGCAGCTATACCCATCCCTTAGTAATAAAAAAAATAGTATACCTTATCAGATAAAGATACTGACTTGGGAAAAAAGAAAGTCTAGTATAAAATTATATACCTAGATAAGAATTACTAGACAAAACTAAAAGAAAATAGAAAAGTTTTAAAAAAAAATATATAGTTGTACGCCTTTTTTTAATAGAGGCTATTTTAGACCTTACTGCAACTGCCTGTATTTTTATTAATTTAAAATACCTAATCTATAGTATTATAAGTAAAATATTTGCTAAAATAAATAACCTGTTAACTATTAGTATTAATCTAAAACTGGTATAAGAAATCTTAAATAATAAAATGCTGATCCACTTTATTATACAGATAAAAATAAATATAGAATCCTATACTAAGAAAAAAGCATACTTTTATATAATACCTAACAATCTTAGATATAACCTAATCCTAGAAAAGAGCTGGCTGTCCTATTATAATAGTATTTTAAAACCAGACTAAGAATAATTATTTCTATATATAATTAAAATAAGACTAAGGGACCTACTATATTTATAATATACAAACCTAAGACTTCAGCTAATTATAAGAATAGAATTTAAAGACTATCTGTAGAAAAGATCTAAAAAAAGTATAAAAATATTTACAGTTTTACTTACTAATATTTAAAAAGTACTCCAAACTAAAAAAACAGTTAATCTATATATAATATTTTTTAAATATTATTAGAACTTTCTGCCTCTCTTCCAATCAGAGAACACAGAGAAACTACTGCTATACTAAAAAAAAAGTATTAATTATAAAATTAAGCTTGTATACCAGAACAGAAAAAAGCCAGAAGTTTTATAGGGCTCTTTCTATAATATATCCTAAAAAAAACTAACAGTTCTACAGTCCAAACTAACTAAACTACTAAAAAAAAACTTTATATAAGTTAGTTACTTCTCGGCGGCAGCCCCAGTACTTTTTATATAAAAGCTAAAAAAAAAATTAAAATTCTGTATAGATTACTAAGTACTTAATATAATTATAAAAAAGGACTGCTACCTGCTTCCCCTAATTTATAAAACCCTAAACCAAATCGGAAAAGCAAAATAGTTTACTAAACTAGATATTTTATCCGCCTTTTATAAAATCTGTATTATAGAGGGTTAAAAATAGATAACAGCCTTTTATATACAGTATAGGCTATATAAATAGCTAGTAATACTTTTTAGACTGGCAAATACCCTAAGTACCTTTTAAAAATATATTAACTGGGCACTATGCAAATACCTTAACAAATTCTATTCAGCCTATATTAATAATATATTAATTTATATAGATAAAAATATTAAAAAGTACTATAAATATATATAAAAAGTATTACAGAAACTAAAGAAAGCCGGCTTGTTTTTAAATATTAAAAAGTATAAGTTTAAAAAAAAGGAAACTCTCTACCTTAGATTTATTATATATACAGGGTAAGATATTAAAATAGATTCTAAAAAGATTAAGATAATTATTTTATAAAAAAGCCCTAAATCAGTAAAAGCTATCTAAAGCTTTTTAAAATTTGTAAATTTTTACTGTAAATTTATTTCTGGATTTTCAGCTACTGTACGACTACTTATAAATCTGACTAAGAAAGATCAGCCTTTTTAATAGACCTAAAAGTATAAGATAAGCTTTTAGATATTAAAAAAAAAGTTTACAACCAAGCCTGTTTTCTATTTTTTTAATTCTAAATATATAATAGTAGTAGAGACAGACTCTTTAGACTATAATATATAAAAAATACTTTTTTAAATAAATAAAAATAAAGAGCTGTATTCTTACACTTATTTTTTTAAATAAAACACACTAGCTGAGTATAACTATAAGATCTATAATAAAAAACTATTAGCAGTTATATAGTATCTAAAAGCTTAGAATGCTAAATTATACTTAGTATTAGAATTTACAGTAATTACTAATTATAAGAATTTAAAATACTTTTTTAAGCTGTGCAAACTTACAGAAAGATATATATAATAAAGCTTAATCTTAAGCAGATTTAACTTTAAACTAGTCTATTAGAAAAAAACAGAAAACAAGCAGGCAGATATCCTTTTATAACAGAAATAGAATATACCTAATAAATAA